TTTTCAATCCGGACCGATCCGGACATGACCATCCAGACTGATCCGGATCATGTCCGGACGGTCCGGACTGGTCCGGAAATCCGGACGTCCAGATCATAAGACCCCGTATTGGCTATACATCCTCCTTGTATTTATGCAGGATATGTTGCCAGTACTATTGGTTTTTGTTTATGTGTAGCCGGAACTCGACTAAAAAAGCACACTGCGTGTGAAATCAATGAAAGTGGGAAGCTGAAAGATCACTGTGGAAAAAGAAAGGCAGTGATCTTACGTTCTGTGCTTCGCACCATAACGCGATGTCTGGGTCCGGATTGGTCCGGTGTCAGGGTCCGCGGTAGCCATGCTCCGAACCAAGACGATCTGTGTAGCGCATAACACAGAGGCAGAAGTTGCAGAACACATGTTTTTTGTTTTCTTTGAACCACCAGTACTGCCTAAAGTTGTGCCCGTTAACAAGAAACGATTTTAGGAAATGTGCAGGCCACTACAGGAGCGCCCCAATTCATCCGACTAAAAACGTTTCTACTCTATTTTTCCCCGCGGCGGATAGCTGGGCCAAGTACTGGTGGTTTAAGACATCACTACCTTTCCCGCTGTTGAGAAAACGGTAAAACATCCTACTCCTAAAAAATCGGAGGTCGGGCCAGACAACGGCCGCCATTGATAAACCTCCCTCATCAGCGGCTGTCGTTTCGTTTCGGCCTCCTAAAGACTCGGGGGCCCGACGGTGGCCCACAGGAAAAAAGGTAGTGGTGGTTTAAGACGTCACTTGGCACGTGGAACGTGAATGGGCTGGCATCTGGTGATAGAGTAGACTTTTTTACATCGTGTGTTTGTGAAGCAAGTTAGCCGAATTCTCGAACAGCAGATCGGCCACTTCCTCAGGGAAAAAATGATGCAAAAATGCCTCTTGCACCCTCCTTGCAGGTTGTCGTGCGCTGCACTGTGTGCCAAAGTGGTCCCGCACACCATGAATATTAGGCAAATAGAAATGAAACTATAAGGATCAGTTCATGATTTTAGACTTTAGTAACTGAAAAAATAGTAGTTTGGCCCAGCCACATCACTTGAAATAATTTACACCATATGTCACTTTGAAATTTTCGGCTTTTGGACCGTGCGCACCATGTGCGGTGCACCAGTGCAGTGTGGGCTTCGAGCTCCAAAACAAGTGTGGCCTCTAATTTCATAACTTTACCTAACACAATTCACTTTTTCGCTCTGTTTGCCAAGGATTCAAGGTGTGGCATTGTGCGTGCATTTCGGCCACATGGAAGGTACAGTCAGTGTTGAACCTTCTCATTGTCCCCTAACATTACTCTATCCAATGCGATCCATTTGATTCCATCAGAACTTCAACTCAGCATCTGTTCGTCGACCACGGCATGTGTACAACATTCACCAACATGGGATTGGTCCACCGTGTTGCACCTACCTTTGGTAGAGGAAGAAGAAAGTTAGTGTGTTTGACGCATCTGACAGGTAACTACATCCTGCAGTGCTCTTGATGTGTAGCTCCTCAATTGAGAATCCTTCTGCAACACTCCTTCCCTTCGCACTTGGATCGACTGTGCAGACGCAGCCCATGGCAAGAATTGCATTGACATGAAGGGGCATCTTGGTCTCATATATACCCTGTACCAAAAGCAAGCAGGGGAAACAAAGGGGGGGGGAGGAGAATGGGGGCAAGAGTAACAACTTTCAATAAGCACAAGAAAACTGCAATCTTTCCTTGTAACCGATTGATTGAATCAGAGCCTCACACACACAATCAGTGGGAACAACCAAACATTTGACATTCTCTGAAGAGTCAACAGGATAACAAGAAAATTATATCTTTGCATAGGCATGTGACACCCCAGCTCTCCCTCTCTCTCTCTCTCTCTCTCTCTCTCTCTCTCTCTCTCTCTCTCTCTCTCTCTCTCTCTC